GATATATATTGAAAATGAATTGTCAAAGACTATTGTTCATAATAAATGTGGAAACTTCAGATTTAAATCCGAGTATTATGTGTACTTCAAAAAGTGAAGAAAAGATTCCTTAACCCAACAACTTTTGTTCAGAATTTTCGAAATCTGACTTCAGATTCAGATTCCTCGACCCCAATTTGCTTTCGCCAACCTTTATGAAATATCGCTATTTTCTCAAAAAACTCTTCGCTTGACCTAAAGAATAGAGCTCAAATCTTTAATACTCTATATACCATTTTGTAGCTCGTGAAATTCTCTATCGAATGGTATATAATACTTGGGGTTTTATTTTGACTATGATAAGAAAAGTTTTTTATGAAAGCGAACATAGGTCGATTTTCGCATAAGAGACTATAGGGGAAAATTAGTATCTTTGCAATAACTCAGGAAGAGCTCCTCCAATCAGGCTCATCTTTGAACTTGACCGAGACATTGATGAGACTGAACTGTGTAGAAAATTTTATCGCGATTGGACTCTCCTTTCAAAAGTTATCGTGTTAACGGCAGGACGGACATACTGACCGATTCTAGAGTGTACTCACTTTTTGAGTACACAAAAATAGATTGGAACAGAAGCTTTATTTGATATATTCTTTAAATCAAATGATTCTGGTTGTAGACAAAAACAAGACTGTACATCATAAATATTATACTGAAAATTCAACGAAACCTTTTATTAACAAAAAAAGATGCTCAAAAAGACTTTCATAAAGCTATAACAAAAAAGTCTAACTTAGTGTAAGTAATAATGGCATGTATCGTGAGCATTATGAATGTCTCTCTATCGTCATATTTTTATCTAATGTTCATAGAAATTTTAGTTAGTTCTAAGTATATACACAGATGATCGTGATAGACAACACAATCTCGTATTCATTTATGCAATCAACTTCTAAATGTTAATGAATTGAAAAAAGTTGCTAGAAACTTTCTAGGAGCTTTTATTTAAATTTCAAAAACGTATTTTCGGCAATGAACGAGCTTTAAAAAGTTGCTTTTCACATCTACAACAACGGACAATTTAAAATTTCTATATGAAAATGTGAAAAGACCTTTCCTCTATCTCTTTTCGTTCTTCGCTCGAAAACATACACAGATTGCTTTTATTCTTAACAATAAAATGAATGATATTTTATCATTGGTTGAGTAGATAAATAAAGATGTAAGCAATACGTATTGCTTAGAAGAATATATAAAATCGATGAAGTGAAACAAGACGAACGATAACACACATAATACATCACGACGAAAAACAAACATATAAACAATGTGTCGTTGGTTTGCTTATATTGGTGAAGAGCCAACTCTTCTTGAAGATATTATTTTCAAACCAAAACATTCCATAATCAAACAAATTGATAAACATTTTCTACCAAATCTTCATATAACCTATGATCCTCGTCTTTATGGAAAAGAAATTAGTTCAGATACAGCATCTGATGAACCTAATATAGATTATTTAACCAGCATTGACGGATTTGGCGTGGGTTATTATACGGGTGTTTCTGCTGATTTCAACAGTGATAATGTGAGTAGACCATGTGTCTATAAGAGTATTCGACCACCATTGAATGATCGTAATTTGATCTCTTTATGTGCTAATACATCATCAAAATGTATATTCGCACATATTCGTTCTGGAACTGGTCGAACTCCAACAGTTGAAACAAACAATCATCCATTCATTTTTGGTCGATATTTGTTTATGCACAATGGAGACGTAGGAAATTTTCGAAAAATCAAACTGGCTCTACTAAACAAATTATCTGTAAAAGCCTATGAAAATGTATTCGGAACAACAGATACAGAACATGTTGCTGCACTTTTCTTTACACATTTAGGAAACGATTGGGATACAGAATTACCTATGGAAAATTGGAAACAAGCTATGATGAAAACTTTTCAAGATATACTTAGTTTGGTTGAAGAAAGTGCCAAAGACACGAATGAAGCAGTTCCATGTAGTTTTCTTAATTTTGCTGTGACAGATAGTTGTCGATTACTTGCTACTAGATTTTCATCAGTGGAAGATGTTGCACCTCCTTCTTTATATTATTCGACTACAGCTGGACCTACTCTTAATCGAAAATTTCCAGATGATCCTGATGGAAAAGCAATTCATAAGATGATAGTACGATTTGTTCATCTACATGGAAGACATGCTATTGTAGCAAGTGAACCGAACACATATAAGGAGGAGGAATGGCATCTGATACCAGCAAATTCGTTAGTTCTGGTCGATAAAGACTTCTATGTTACGATTGAAAAAATTAACCCATGAAATTTTACATCATGCTCGTTTTCTAATTTTAATAACAGAAGAAATAATATAGGTTTAGACACTTTATTAAAAAAATATATATTACCTAGAAAAACAGAAAACAGAATCGAACATATTAGCTGAATCTTTGAAAATAACAATGAAATTAAGGAAGTGAATTTTTACTCGATAAGGATCTTAGTTGGATGCATTATAAGGTAGAAATGTTGAGGTTACTAGGAAACTTCAAAGATTCGAAGCAACATGGAAAGATTTTATTATGAAAATTGAATGATAGCAATATCATTCAACTTTAGAATCAAACTAATCGATTTTCATCATTATCTTCGAGTTTTCACAGCACTGAAGCTATCCTGTTTTGCTGGTTCTGATCGAAATAAAGGTGTAAGTGTGTGAACACAAGGAGGAAAACGACTTCTATCCGATAGTACGATTAATAATAATATAATTTCTCAACAATAAGCCCTTACTATGTGTAAGCGTCGGCATCATGTCTCATATAAAAAAAACTCAATAGGTATCCGAAATAAACGCTGAACTTACGAATAGAATCCGTACGGATTTTCATTATCAATGAAGTCTTTTTAATTTGATTGAATATGATACTAACATTTTACATAATCAGTGTTTTAGCAGAAAGAATGCAAACAACAGAGGTGGATATTGCAGAAGATAATCGGATGAACAATTCTGCATAGATTCATAATAACATGTTATTTTGGAGAACATTTGAGGTCACGCACAACTCTATACAGTTGGTCAAAAAAATATCAGGTCAGCCTGTTTTAGTTTGATGCAAAGACTCTATCCTTTACAAAGACTGATTATTGTGAAGCTTATGTAGGACAGAGAGTATTTTTTTACTTTATCCAATGATGGTATTTTGATAAAAGTAACAAGTTTTGAAATTGGAAATCATTTTTTGCGAAACATCATGAAATTTTCCTAAAAGAGATCACTAACAAATTTGATAGAGCACTTATATTGCAAAAGCACATATGTAGTTTTCTAGAATAGCTGCTAACAACACATCGAATGGTATATAGGAAAATTGTATTTTCTTCAAGTCTTAATGCATTACGAATCAATATACTCCTTACAGATATATAACGAGTGAAAAGTATGCGGATGCTCTAGCTCACTTTTAGTATTTGTCACTTTGCTTGTACAAGATTATTCACTATGTGTTTTGCATCAAAACTAAAAAACAGAAAAGGATCGAAGAATCTTTCTAGTAAGTTTTCAAAATAGAAAACGGATTTTACAGAATGCTTGTCCAATACACATTCCAAGCAATATATAGATTCTTAATACATTAAGACTTGAAGAAAGTACAATTTCCTATATACTATTCAATGCGTTATTAACTCCTCTACAAAATTGTATATATGCTGTTACAATATAAGTATCCTATCAAATTTGTTAGCAATCTCTTTTTCAAGAAAACTTCATGATTTTCAATTTCAAAATATGTTTCTTTTTTTTAAAAATACCATCGTTGAATAGAGTAAAGAAAACTCACTATCCTATCTAAGTTTCATAATAATCAGTCTTTGTAAAGGATCTATTTGAAGAAAGTCTTTCTATAAGACTTGAACGGGTTGATCGGATTCTTTTTTAATTAACTGTAAATATAAGTATGAATTATATTCATATTTGAATAATTGATTTGTATTATCGAGGTAAAAAAATAGTCTTAAAGAATTAAGTATATATTTGAATAAAGGAAAAAATTAATTTATATTATATGTTTACTTATAATTGTTTACTTAATAGATTTTATAATCGATAGTGGTGTCTTGGAACAAAAATAGATGTTTTCAGAAGAGTACAAAATCATCTCAAAATGATTGATTAAAAACACTATTTATACAACAAATTGTAAAAAAGACTTTTGTTTTATAATTTCTCATGAACATCAAATAGAAAATATTAATGGAAATAAACAAGAGAGGATGTGTGGGTGTGGGGTGTGGGTGTAGGTCTTGTTTTCAACCGTAAGTTTACTCACACCCACACCCACACCCACACCCACACTCACACTCCACCCACACCCCACCCACACCCAGACAGCATGTGTCAGACTTCATGTGCATTTTTAACAGACGTGTTTATCATCAAGTAATACTAATAGCGTTTTCTTTCGTTTTTCATTACCTTAAAGTTGTTTATCTACAGATCGAAAAGTGGTTGAATTGATTGGCTTTTTCCAAGAGGAAAAAGTTGATTTCGTCATTTTCAATGACTGTTTTGATTCCTATAACTTTCCATGCCATGGGTTTTTTCCCTCTTCGCGTTTGTAAATTGTTGAGTGTGAGTGCAAACTAGAGTTTATGAGGAAGTGGACTGGATAAGGTTTGCTATGGATAAAAATGCTTAGTTTATGTGTCGATGTTGTGAATGTAAAAATAGACTATGTCTTGTCCTGCTCAGGAATCTTATCCGTCAGAATAGCGTATGACGGATTTGAGTAACTCAAAAGCTGAAAGCGAACAAACTCATAAATAGGTGCGTGACGAATGAAAAAAAATAACTTTGATTATAGCACGTGATACTGAATGTACTCGAGTATGGTTATAGAAAAATAATGTCTAAAATATTATTAGAGCAATAATAAACAATTAGTCTTTTTTTTTTCTTCATCATTCGTCTGAATCAATTCATCATATGAGACTGGACTTCATTTTCCAATAATCGATTCTGCAAGCTGATCAGCCACTTGTGTGCCTCTTCGAACAGCTCCTTCGATGAAGCCACCATCATTATTGCTAACTTCACTGTTGCCTAGCCACAATCGACCGTTCCATTGTGGTTTTCTACATTCATTACTGACGTATGCATGACCACCGATACTATCATTTGTCGACGACGATGTAAATACTTCATTACTCCAATCCATTATGTATACAGCGGTCGGATTCATTGCCTCATTACCGAATATTTTGACAGTCGCATCAATCACCTCTTGTTTAGTTGTACCAGCCAAACAGAAAACAAAAAGAGCATTACAACTATTGCTACTGGCATCGTGCCACTCCTGAACTTTTCTATGACGTGATACAGCAAATCCGCTTAATTTTTGACCCTTCCACCATGAATGCTCGTACTGTAGAATAGCTTTACATGTTGATGCCATCCATGTACTACAGCCATTGAGCTCTTTGATGAGTGATGATGATAATTCTGGTGTTAAGTTTATAGTCGGCATAAATAGTTTGGGCGGTAGAGCTAGCACCACATAATCAGCTGATATTGAATTGTTGTTACGTAATTTTATATTAATAGTCTTGTTAGTTTCGTATGCAATAGACATAACTGGTGAGTTAAGTTCTATATTGACTGTTGTTCGACTTTTTGTAGTTAGTTCAGCGAGTATTGCAGCACACAAACTACCTGTTCCACCTTTAAGACGTTTAGCACCGTAGTGTATGTTACCTAAGGCCATGCGCTGAATACCATTATTTCCGGTATTAATGAGTGATATTCCACTTTCATACTGATCAATTGTACTGATATTGAGCTCTCTTACAAGTGAAAGTGCGGCAATGTGAGACGAAAAAATCCATGATGCGCCTAAATCAAGATTGAGCTCAGGTATACTCAATGTTCGACCACCGACTCGATCACGTGCTTCAAATACTGTAATTTTATGTGGTCGCTTTTTGAGTAAATGTGTTAAATGTCTAGCACAAGTTAGACCAGCAACACCGGCACCGACGATTACGATATGAAATGTTGAAATCAATGAAGACTCTTGATTGATCTTATCTGCATCATTTATTGCTTGAAACCAAAAACAAAAAAAAAACAAGATTTGACAGAACACAAACGGTTCTATATATTTGTTAATTATTCAAGGCTTCAATACTAGTCCTCATTTATTTAAAACAATGGAATTGTCAAAGTTTTAAAAACGATAAGATTATTCAGTTAAAACTCGATTATGAAAAATTCTGATGGAGAAGTCTTTAACAAATTTTTTTAATAACGAAAGCTGATTATATTAACAATTCTTTCGTACAATCGGCTCTTCCAACAACAAAAATAAATAAAAGTTGATCGGATGTCTTCAAGTCATTTTTTCTGAATTAAACTTTTATAGTCAGCTCTTATGGAAAGCAGATTTTAAAAATAATTAAACCAAGGATTAAATTAATTGAGTTTGTTCATTGACTCGAAATTCTTTCTTGAAAGTAATGTGTCTTATATATGTTACTTCTAGGTCTATCCAAATATAGAATCGAATTTCTTAATAGGATTATAATGTTTAGAAAACCATGCAGAAGTTTAGTAAAAACTTGTTAATTTTGGCCTGTGAAAAATTTAAACCAGTAAAATCTCACTTTTGTAGAACATTCTTGTCAGGTTGATTAGAGCGTTCTATGATCAAACTCAGTAGAGGAGTCTCAATATTGTCTATAAACGAGAAGTAAAAACAGGCTATAGCTGAAAATTTCATTGAGTTTGATTGATCAAGCCAAAATGGCTTGAAATCATTGGTGCACTTCAATATTTAGAATTTCAGAAGGTAAAGTGTTGTACTTATGAAACTGTGTCACTGATATTTGGAGAAGTCTATTATTTTTGAGAAAATCGTAACGAACTCTTGAAGAAATTTCATTTTTTAGTAGACACTATTCATTTACTTAAATAAGTTATCTAAATTGTATAAAACGAAGATTTTTTTCTGATATTTCGAGCACAAAAATATTGGCAAATTTTCATTGAACATATTCTTTCAAAGTCTCAGCCATCATATTGACGAATATGATTCTCAAATGCGGACAAACATCAATTATAGAAGTAAAGGAAATGATTAAAATACAATGACAAAAAAAAAAGACATACATTGTTCTTAAAATTGTGAGCAGTCCTGTAGGTGCTCATTGTGAAAAATATAGTAGTAAATATCTAGGCGCACATACACTACTAAACGCGTAAAATAAAAAACTGAAGTATTTGTCTTCAAAAATATACATTGTATAAATGCTATTAGCTTTCTTTAAAATAACGATTAGCGAATGAAGAAAGAACTAACATTGAAAAATCTACTTCACAAATGTCATGACTCAATTAAATACAGATATTCTGTATTCTTACTTACCATTGGCAGAGTCTTGATGGTTCGTGTATAATATTCTATGAGTCATGCGTCGACAAAAATTCTTTTCAATTGAAAGATAATGTGGTACGTGGAAGAAAAAAGAATGCTCTTATATACACTGTTACTAGCAACGTCTAGAAAGAGAAAAAGAGGAAGAAAAAATGCATTGTCATCATGAGATTCAGACGCCAACGCTCATCTTTCAGTTCTTTTTCTCCCTTCTTTTATTACATATTTTTTTCCTTGTGAAGAGAGAAGCTGAGGGAAAGATCGATTGATAATATCCAAGAAATGACTCACCGTTAGTATAAAATTTCATTGTGTAATCATGTCGCTTCTTTCTTTTCCAAGGCAAAAGCAAAAAAAAAGTAGAACTTTATATTTAGAAAACCATGAGAACCACTAAAGTGTGAAACATCTAGAGAGGAGTGCAATAACTCTTGAAACTGGATGCATTGGTTGCATTGCCTCAACCAATGCATTCGACTATGTTGATAAGTCCGTCATTAAATAAATATTGATTGATTAACAATGCAATTGTGCAATCAGAACAAGGTCCCAATATTAATATGAGTAACACTTTGATCTAATCATAGTGTCATCGACTTCAACATCTTTTCACTGTAAATAAAACATGACAGACATAACAGACAGAGCATTTTTTATTTGTCCGAAAACTATATAAAAAGAAGAAAGTACATCTGATTTTACTAATTATGCGTTTGTTAATACTCTTTTTTCTTTGACACAATAACAAACGAAATTAACACTTACTTTCTTGTTTACTAGAGTCACGATATCTTTTTACGAGCCTAGTTTATCTTAAGTCTGTAAACAAACATTTTCTGTTCAAACGAAACTCCTTGTAACAGACATCGAATAGTAGTTACTTTATAAAATGAAACTGAGCTAATAAAGTTCGAGCTCGAAACCAAGTGGCAATACTGCGAGCATTTTCTTTTGTGTCTATCACTATCGAAATCATCAATGGTATTATCATGTCGAATATAACGCCTTTATAGGTTAGTCCCTTTAATGACAATTAACTCACGACTCTCGACAACTGACAAACGAAAATACTTATCTGTTGTGAATAATAGTCAAACTTAGTGTTGCTAAGAAATAATATAAAGATTCTATTGCTTTTAAACGATACAGATAGACTACTATTTGGACGAGTTATGCAAATACTATCATATGTAATTTATTAAACGTAGACAATGCCGAAAGCTATTCATCTACCGTTATGATTAATGTTTCATGAACTCAGGATCAAAAACAGGTTTCAATAAGAAAGTAACGAGCGACAATCACAGCTCTCATTATCTAATACATACACATTGAAAAATAAGTAACTAAAGAATATTTTCTCGAACGATGCGATGTGAGATTGAATGACTTTTGAGAAGGATTAACAGATTTGAAACTTACGATTGTAACCAGAAGCTTATTTAGTTGTAATTGCAATAATATTTTAAGGCTTCATTTAAAATCAACTCCCGACGGAATCATTCTATTGGTGGAGATCTGATACTCATGCATACACCAAAACAATCTTGTTTTTTTTCTTTATGTACATGTTTGCATATACGAATCAAGTAAAGCATTCAACTCTAATAGTCAAGTACGTCAATATTTTTTTCTGTTCTATTCAACATTCTACTCGGAAGTATTAATAAGAACTATCGTAGTCATCCACAGCCACTTGAGTAAAATAATCACGAGGTGATCGTTCAATAAATCGCGATCATTCCGTCTCAGTCATAATTCTTTGCATAAATAGTAAAGAGTTCATTGATTGAATTAAGTAATTTAATGTATTATCATGTTTAATTAATCAAGTAAATGTATACCCTATAGTAGATTTAGTATTACATCGCTGTCACGGACAGAAAATGCACTTTGACAGAACAAATAATTTGAATTCCATAAAAACTGTTTGAAAATCTTTTTTGTTAAATTTATCATTGTATGCTACTTGACAAGACTTGAACACTTTAAGGAGATGAATTCTGATGAAATTATCAGCAACAAAAAACCAAGAAGAAGTTAAATGAATTTTTTCTCTCTCTGGAAATGTAAGACTAGTTCTGCCCATGGCGTAAATTTCTGCGAAAAAAACGCGTTCTCAAAACGCATTTTTCCATAGTTGCGAAACGCGTTAATGCTGACCGGTTTAACGCATTTCACATCTGCTAATACGAACGCTGTGAAACGATCGTTTTTCTAAAAACGTTTCGTAGCGTTTCTCTAACTGTGATGTCGTATATTCTAGATGGAAAAAAATGAAAACCGTCAAGTACTTCATGCACTTTGAGTTGCAGATACAATTAATTTACTCGCTTACATTTTTCATACACCTTTAGAGCTATAACTTAGA